TTTTTTTTTTGTCTTTTGTCTTTTGTCTTTTTCCGTGTCCGGCAACCGATCGCAGCCCTCAGTGTTGCCCCCGTACCGGACCGGGACCGGCAACGGGATCGCAACCCTCGGCGTTGCCCCCGCGCCTCGCTCAGCCAGTGAGCGGGAACCGGTCTGTATGTGGGATTCGAACCCTCGGTGGGAGTGCCGCCGCACTTCCCAAGTGGCGCACTAGCGCAGTGCGCCACCGGGCCGGCCCCGGTTTTCTAAAACTTACAACCTGTGTCATGAAAATTATCTGATGTACCAAGGGTACTTCAGAATGTTTGTGAAGAAATAGAATTAAAAGTAATATGAAGCTTTCCGTGAACTTTTTGAAGACCTCTTGTATTTAAAACAAAAGTTTATTCTTATCCTGGGTGTTTGCTTCTTTTTCCAAAGTGCAAAATAGTCATTGATTTACAAGTGTAGTATATACTCTTTCTCTTTATCCAAGATTTACTCATTTGTAAAGTGGATACAGTGATGTTCTTTTGCTTATTTTCCAAGGGTTTTTATGGAACATGAAATATGGCAGTGACATTTGTGTAACATGCAATGATATTTGCAGATTTGATCTGGCAAATACATGTGAACAATTTGTAGGTATCTGAAGTAAAAGAAATGGAATTTCATAGACAGTACTTTTTAAGTTCAATAATATGTTTATAGCTTTAAAAAAAGGGTTTCTGCAATTAAAATTAAAACGAAAATGAAAAGTTTTATTGTTTTTCTTCCAAGAATTCTTCTATTCCTTCAGCTCTTCCTGAACCGATGACAGCTAGTGAAGCAGCTACTAGGAGAAACCAAATAAAAGCCAGGTAGGCAAAGCTATGATGAAATTGAAAAGACATTTTTAAAAAAAAAGTTATATTTCATGTTTTTAATCCTAGCAAATGTCATTGATTAAATATCCACTCACAAGAAATGTCTTGCTTATTGCATGTGGTGTGGTTTAGATAGCAAGTATGAAATAAGCTTTTTTTTTTTTTTTTTTTTTTTTTTTTTTAATATTAAATACAGGGCTTGACATTAATCTCATTTGAACTCACTCTCAGCAATAAAAAAGTAATTGTTTAGATAATGATGTTACAGTGGATCTTTTTGGTGTGGGGATTGTCATTTTTATCACATAACAACTCTAGGAAATTTTATGTTTTGAATTAATAGCTAACATGTTTATTTTATAAATTTAAGGAAAGACAAAATAGCTCTCATAGGTAACTAGAATATGTAGAATACGTATGTACTTTGTAGAATTTACAATGAGTGGTTATAACTATAATACTTTATATGACTGGTAAAGAAATGTTTTTAAGTCTTATTTTTCGTAGTTATTTACTGCATTAAGTTTGAAGTATATTACGTAGACTAAGACCTGAATTTGTTAATGATTTTTTTTCTCATGCTTTTTTTGAATTTAAAGTTAAAAAGCAAGACTGTATCTTAGATTATCAGACAGGTATAATATATTATGGGAGATTTCTTGGTCACAACTTTTTTGTATTATATCTTATTTATGGTATTTTATTTGACATAAAATACAAAAAATATATCATGTACGTTTTATATGCAAGTTATAGATACTGGAAATGCAAAGAAATGGAAACCGTTCTTCTTTCCAAGGAGTTCACATTCTATTTGATATGCAGTTACATCTTGATAGATACTCACCACTCTGAGAATGTAGAAGAAGGGAAAGACTGGGAGCAGAGAAAGGAGGAGCACAAAAAGAATGCTTTTTCTAGGGGTGGGAGTTGCTGAACTCTTCCTTGAAGGATAAATAGTCAGCCACCTGGAAGGGTAGAGAGTGAAACTATAGCAGAAAGGCAATTCAGGAAGTCAAAAAGAATGGCCCTTGTGAAACTGCAAGGCATAAGGGAACATATACAGGATTAAAGGGATATGGAGCTAGAATGGTAGGTAAATGCCAGTCATGAGCAACTTCGTTTATATATTATGCTAAGAAATTTGGACTTTGGCCTTTAGGACAGTGAATTTTCACCCTTCTGATAAGTCTGATATGTGGGACTTGGTTGTAAGATGTGTTATAAATAATCTATTACTTATAAATTATTAAACTATTGTTTGTGAATGACTTACTTTTTAAAAACGTATGACATCACTAAAAATATCTTCATTCACTTGAATTTCAAAATGTTCTCTTGAGAAGGAGACAAAGGAGTAAAGTTACATCTAACCTTGTAGGAATCCAGCACGACCTAGTCTGTCATATCTATGACATAGCTTTAATTAGCAACCACTGTTATAGTTGAGTGGTAATTATGGGTTATTGTAGGGCTTGTCAGTTGAATTTTATTCTTTCTTGTGTTTATTTATAATTTAAAAATAATTTTTTGAGAAGGTAGGTACAGATTTAAAAAAACACAAGTCAACTGAACAAGAAGGATGATTTGAATATTTTTTCACTGTGACAACAAGCTATAGCTATAGAATTATAAGGAAGTGAAATAGTATTAAAATTCACAGAATTTATTTATAGCATGTTAAAACTATATATTATGTATATTAAAAATAAGGTTTGTTGGTGATTATTACAATAATATATATTTACTCTATTAATATATCAGTGAATAACTTGAAAAATGTAAATATATACAAAGCTTAATTAAAAAATAAGTTAGATGCTTTTTCATGAAAGATGTACATTTTGGATAGAGAAATCTTTAAATGGCTAGTTTTATTATTTGCATGTTTTCAAAAAGCAGTTATAGGTATTATCCACCTGCCCTGCTTTCAATCTGTTGCACTCTTTGCTTTACTTCTTAAAAATCCCTTTCCACCTCCCCAAACTTTGCATCTGCTTTTGGGACTATTAAACATGTTAAGCTTATTTGATGTAATGTCTTAAAGATGGAAATGTTGAGAATTATTGTCCTGGCAATGGAAATATTGAAGGATTTTTAGCAGGAGAGAGAGTCTGAGTTTTAGGAAGATTGTTAGGTGATAGGAAGAAGGAAAGAAGAGAAACAGAGAAAACAGCTGTGTGACTGTGTTCTAATAGTGCAAATGAGATAGTGCAGCAGTGTTGATGCAGTAATTACTGTCTTTAATTTTAGTCAATTTTCTATCTTCACTTTGCCTAATCTGTCCTTGTATTTTCTTCCCATTCCATCACACAGTGTCTTTTTCACTGTCTATTGGAATAAAATTTATTTAAACATTTTTAATCTCCAGAGTCTACCAGAAGCCTTCTGTAGCCAAATTAGGTTAAAGTTACGATTATTCCTCCATCTGCAGCATCTTGCATGAACTTAGAGAAAATTATGTTAAGTGAAATAAGCCAGGCACAGAAAGAGAAATACTATATGTTAAGTGAAATAAGCCAGGCACAGAAAGAGAAATACTATATGTTAAGTGAAATAAGCCAGGCACAGAAAGAGAAATACTATATGTTAAGTGAAATAAGCCAGGCACAGAAAGAGAAATACTATATGTTAAGTGAAATAAGCCAGGCACAGAAAGAGAAATACTATATGTCCTCACGCATAAGTGGGAGCTTAAAAAAAAAGACAAATAAATAAATAAAAAGAAATATATAACAATCACATTATTTCCTTGAACTTTCAAAAGGAGAGAATGGAACTGAGGTCACCAGAGGATGGAAAAGGGGAGGGGGAAGGGGGGGTAGTGAGAAATTGGTAAAGGGCCACAAAAAAATGAATACTTTGTGTAATGATAAATATTGTAATTAACCTGATTTGAACATCACTTATTGTACACAGGTATTGATATTCAGTGCTCTACCCCACAGATATGTACAATCAATTATGCTTCAGTAAAACAAAAAAAGAAAAGGCCTAAAACAATTACTCCTCCTCGAAACTCTTGACAGCACTAGCTTTGTACTGATTACTTTTGCTGTCTTTTATTTTGTTATGTTTTCACCAATATGTGCCATATCTTCCTAGGTATGCTGTAAATTCTTTGAAGACAGGGTGTTGTGCAGTGTTTTGTTGCACATCAGTAAAATGTACAATACATATTAACACATTGGTAATATAGATTAGGAGACAGTTTGAACAGAGCCTGCAGAGCTTTTGCTATGCTCATGTGTGTTGTCAACCTCTAAAAAGTGCGTTAGACCAGGAACAAAGGCAAGGCCACTTCTGGCCTATATTACCCACAAAGAATGGATAAACAGAAAGATTGTATACCTTATTCCCCCAAATTTCTTGAGTTTAGGGAATATAGCATTGGGTTTAGTGCCACATCAATAACTTCAGCTCAGTAAATACCATTAAAGTGAGATATAATTGGTTATATATAGAGATGATCTTTTGCCTGTTAGTTCAGTTTTCATGTGAATTGTACCATCCCCACCCCATCTAAAACATATAGTGTTATTTTTAGAAAACATACATTTCTATGATTTTCTAAAATCGTTTGATTCAATTTCACTTTCCTCTCAGATAGTTTGTTAATAGGGCTCCCCCTTGTGGTACATACAGATATAAGAAAAGAACGGTAGAAAGCAGTTGTAGATAGGGCTTTCTCCAAAGGCAGCAGATGCATGCTTAATAAATCACATGCATGTACAATTTTTAAGAACTAAATCACTTGGAAATTTGGCAAGGGAAATTAGTGAAGAGATTTTATTGCAGATCCTATTGGAAAGTGAAGAAGTATTTGAAATTTTGTACAGAATTTATAGAAAGCCAAGTTGATAAATATGTATGGTAAAGATTTTACTTGGCTTTTTTGGAAAAAGAAAAATGTCTGTGTCTTCTCAAGTTATATTTTACTCTCTCTTGATTTTATAACTGTGCTTACAACTTGACCACCCACATCTGAGGCCTAAACTAAGTCCTAGTGGGAAAAGTTTTATATGATTTCCATACATTAAAGATTGAAGATGTTGAATGTGAATGAATGGCTCCACCTTTTAAAAGTTTTGGCTTCTTTTGTTTTACGTGCCCTAGAGTGCAGTCTTTTCTTTCTTATGCCTTGAGTCCAAGCTAGGGGAGATTAATTTTTGTTGTTTCTTATTTTTATTTCTCTGACTGGTTCAGAGAGTTGGCTCTCATTGTTGTCCAAAACCTTATAAGAAGGTTTATGCTTGCTTCTTTTCAATCCATTTCATCTCCTTAAGAGCATCTCTGGGACTGTACTCTTTTTTCTGCCAGCTTCAACAGCATGCTATGAATAGGTAGTATACTGTTTGAAGGAAAATGGTTAGTTTTATCTTATTTGCTTTCCTGTCTTCATTAAATCATATGCACGTAAAATATTTGATAATGGGACTTAGGAGGAAGTCAAGAGGACTAACACTAGATCATCTATCGAAATACATGCTTTATAGAACAAATAGTAAATTAGAAGTAATCCCAATATTTGGAATGAAATATATTCTTCTGTTGTAGAATAACAGATACCATTGGACCAACAGAAACCTCAATTGCACCAAGACAAAGACCAAAGGCCAACTCTACTACTGCCACTCCTAGTGTGCTGACCATTCAAAGTTCAGTAACACCTGTTAAAGTCCTTGCTCCTGGTGAATTCAGTAACCACAGACCAAAAGGTAATACAGCCCTGCCAACCCTGTCCCCTTTATAATTAAATAAACCTTTTATAGTTTGACTAACTAGGGGTATAAATTACTGGCTAACTTAATATTATAGAGCAGATAACATAAGGCTTTAAGAAACTTTCTACTGATATCTAATAAATTCAGCTATTTTCTTAAAGTTGTAGGCAAAGGGAACTGACTGGCAATATGAAAGTATGGTACAAAAATCTCACAATTTGCTTTGATTCTATAAATACAAACTCTTATGCCAAGAGTGAGCATCTAACAGTGTTTGAGGTTGGTAATAAAGTTCAAAGTAATAGAAAATTCTGTGTTGTACTGGGAAGGAGGAAGTTGAAATTCTAGCCTTATGAAGTTACATGTCTTGCAGAGAATTTAGAGCCTTGGTGAAGGAGTCTATCTTGAACCACGCAGACATTACAACATAAAAACTTGTCTTCTCATCTCATTTTGGGAAAAATTGTTTTTCTAATCTGAAATATCTCCGAAGCATTATGGTACAGTGTGGTACTTAAAAAATTTTTTTGCCCAAGAAAATTTGATACTGTATCCTTAATAGAGTATTAGAAGGTAAACTTACTCTCTCAAAGGTCTGGAAAAAGGTCAGTATAACCTGAAAAACGACTTCAAGAAAACACTGTTTTGTCCTTTATGTCATGATAAATCTGTCCTGTTCTAATTTTAAAATATTTTCAGTTAGGATACTGTAATGGTTAAGAGCCCACACTTTGAGTCTTAGGAACCTGGTTTGAGTCCTATATCTTCCATTTTTTTAGTAATACATCTTATAAAGATACTAGAACTGTACCTATCTCATAAGATTGTTGGGAGGATTAAATGACTACTTAATATAATACCTCACACATAATATGCCCTTAAGAAATGTTAACTCTTAACTAGTGTTATTACTATTAAGTAAAGTACAGTTGTCCCTTGGTTCCCATAGCAGATTGGTTCCAGGACCTCCTTCGGATACCAAAATCTGGGGATGCTCAAGTCCCTGATATAAAGTGGGGTAGTGTTTCCATATGACCTATGCACATCTTCCCATACACTTTAAATCATCTCTAGATTACTTATAATACCTAACACAATGTAGATGCTAAGTAAATAGTTGTTATACTGTATTGTCTAGAGAATAGTGACAAGAAAAACATATTTTCAGTACATATGCAATTTTATTTTTTCCCTGGATGTTTTCCATCTTTGGTTGGCTGAATCCATGGATGCGGAACCTGCTGATATGGAGGGCCAACTGTATAATATGCTCAGGGAAGATAATGTTTATTTTATATTACCTGGCATATTGCTACATACTTCTTTGATAATCACGTACATCAGTTGAAGTATTCCATGGAAAAGGGAAAATAATGGTAATTTGTAATCTTTTGTGTTTAATTCCCATTTCACCATTTCTTAGCCTCACTGTTCTCTTCTGTAAAATGGGAATAACAACTACCTACTTTTCCTTTTATGAAGAGTTAATAATAAAGTGTGTGTTACCTAGTAAAATTCTGTATTATAGTAAGCATTTAATGTTAATTTCTCTTTTCTCTACCTTTTTGGGTTGGAGATCCTATTAGTCTTTTTTATCATGTATCAATGCCCCCAGCCAAAGACTACTAGGAACACAGTTAGTTATAGGTAAAAGTAAACTTTATTACTCCCAAACTATGGGGATTTGTGGGGTATCTCAGTAAGATAGTGTTTGAAAAGACATATTAAAAGGATTTGGGCTTGTTTTAGGTAATGTCTGGGAGGCTTTACAGAAGCAGGGCTTTGTTCTATATTGGATACTGTCAGGAAGCGATGGTGTGATGATTAGGTATCTTAATAAATCTTATCTAGAAGGAGGGGGCTATTGCCTCAATTGGTAAAGAAGTAGCAGCCAGTCATATTAAGTGGGATAGGGGGATGTTCAGTCATTTTTGTGTTGTGGGCAGTGTTCATGATTTTATCTGTGTTCAGACATGAACATGGAATGGTCTTGTTGTCTTGATCCATTACAGTCACAGAGTGACCTTGTGTGATGATGTTGGTATTGTATGTTATTTAACAGGAAAGCACCAAAACCTAGCTGTGAGTGCCAGGTCTGCTCCTGATGACAGGGACTATGTTTCTCTTTTTTACATGCCTCCCACTTTAGTTTGAAAAATAATACTCTTCCGTCCCCTGCCATGTGCATCTTTTTAACATTTCTTCCACCCTTTAAAAATTATACAAAAAGTAACACATGAGTATTTTCTTTTAAAAAAATGTAGATAATATAGAAGTATTCAGAGAAAAATGTAAAAGTTTCATTCCTTTTTCTTTCCATAGTTAACTGGCAGCAGTTTAGTGTGCATTCTTTTTTATGTTCTTACATGTATATATACAGATATAAATAATTCATATTGTGTTTAACATAAATAGATTTATACTATACATATTTCTATGCACCTGATTTTTTAAAAAAATAGATTTTGGAAAGTTTTGCTCATTAGTTCATATGGATTTACAGTGTAATTTTTAGTAGGTATATGACATTTCATACTCTGACTATACCATAGCTGATATAATCATTTAAGTTATTTCCAATATTTGCTATTGTTAAATAAAAGTTATAGGAGGCCGTTGTTTTAGACAGAATTCCTGCAATAGGCCCCCAAAGACCAGACAAAATACCAAAATGGAGTTCCACATCTCTTAGGTTGTGTTCTGACCTTCTAAGAAATCAAGAGAAAGAGATAACAGCCAGTTTCCCAAACAAGCTAGTGTAAATCTTCAATAGGTATGATAAAGAAGTTCCCTCTGCTTTAATCTCTTCACAAAAAGGATAGCCTGAAGTAACCTGATGTTAATTAATGAGTTATTTTTCTATTCTGTCTCTCTGTCCCCACCTTACAAGGAAAGTAACTGAAATGACCAGTCCACTTTTTGTTCTTTGTTTTTACTTTCTTCTACCTTTTCTGTCTATAAAAACTTTGTTATTTGTAATAGACTTCAAAGCACTTCTGAATGTGATAGACTTTAGAGCACTTCTGACTGTCAGATGGTGTTTTCTTAGTCGATCCTCACATTTGTCTCCCAATAAACTTTGCAAAATCGTTAATAATGTTGTGGTAAACAGCCAAACAGCCTTACTTATAATACACTCCTCTTTTTTTTTGGCGGCTAGCTTCTGTGGAGATCCAGACTCTTGACCTTGCTGTTATCAGCACAACTCTCTACTGAGTGAGCCAACTGGCCAGACCAAACTCGGGTTTTTTAGTTTTTTTTTTTTTTGCTGCTGGCCAATACAGGGATCCAAACCCTTGACATTGATATTGTAGTTCCACACTCTAACCAACTGAACTAACTGGCCAGACTGCTACACTCTTGATTTACTTGTATGAGTAAATCATACTCATTCAAATTAAGGAGCATACTCAAATTAAGGAGCATACTCATTTAAAAATTTTCTCCAATGTCGTTTGCTAAATAGTGCATTATTGTGCATTCTTTGCTAATTTGAAATCCCACCTTTATCATAAACTAACTTTTTTCATATTGTTATTTCTCCACCTTCTATCCTGTACCGTTAAGTTATTTATTCTTATGCCTCTTCCATTTACAGTTTTGATTCTGTATGAATTTTAGAGGAAGCCTCTCAAGTTCTAAAAAAAATAAATTTTAAAGATGATTATTTTGAGTGCATCGATTAGGCAGAAGTTTACATGTTTTGATTTTTGATGATTCCATTCAGCCATATTAAGTTCTTTTTTTTGTTTTGTTTTTCTTTTTTTTAAATTGAAGCGTATTGAGTATACATATTTGTGGGGTACAGAGTTGAATATCAGTGCATGTATACAATGTGTGATGACCAAATCAGGATAGTTAGCTTCTTCATCATTATAAAACTTAATCATTTCTTTATGATGAGGGTTTTCGATCTCTACTCTTCTAGCCATTTGAGAACACACAGTAAATTACTGTTAATTTAGATGTCTAGCTTGACTGCATACCAATAGAACTTATTTTCCTATCTAGCTCTTTTGTGTCCATTAACCAACCTCTCACTATCCCACCTTCCGCTTCCCCTTTCCTGTGTCTAGTAACCGCAGTCTGCTCTCTCCTCAAAGTTCAACTTACTATTGTTTTCTCCTTTCCCTTCCCTCCCCTCCACTCCCCACCCTGCCACCACTTATGAATGAGGACATGTGGTATCTCTCTCTCTGTCCCTTGCTTATTTCACTTAACATAATTTTCTACAAGCTCATTCATGCTGCTGCAAATGCAGAATTTCATTTTTTTATGGCTGAGTAGTATTCCATTGTATACCACACTTTCTTTATCTAGTAGTCCATCGATGGACAATTAGGTTGGTTCCATATCTTGGCTATTATGAATAGAGCTGTGGTAAACATGGAAGTGCAGGTATCCCTTGGACTTGATGATTTCCATTCCTTTGGATATATACCCAGTAGTGGAATTGCTGGATCGTATGGTAGTTCTATCTGTAGTTGTTTAAAAAACCTTCATACTGTTTTCCATACTGGCTGTACTAATTTACAATCCCACTAACAGAGTAGAAGAGTTCCCCTTTCTCTGCATCCTTGCCAGCATTTGTCATTTTCTGTCTTTTTGATAGTAGCCAGTCTAATTCAAGTGAGATGATAGCTCAATGTAGTTTTGATTTGCATTTCTCTGATCATTAGTGATGTTGAGCATTTTTTTCATATACCTTTTGGCCATTTTAATATCGTCTTTTGAGAAATGTCTATTCAACTCCTTTGCCCATTTTTTAATTGGATTTTTTTTTTACTATTAAATTGAGTTTCTTGTGGATATTTTTTCTGGATATTAGCCTCTTGTTGGATGTATAGTTTGCAAGTATTTTCTCACATTCTATAGGTTATCTTTTTGCTCTGTTGATTGATTTTTTTTTTGGCTGTGCAGAAGCTTGTTAGTTTGATATTGTCCGATTTGTTTGTTTTTTTGTTTTGTTGCCTGTGCTTTTGAGGTCTAATTCATAATGTCTTTACATACTGAAGTGTTTCCTCTATGTTTTCTTCTAGGAGTTTTATAGTTTCAGGTCTTACATTTAAGCATTTAATCCATTTTGAGTTGATTTTAGTATATGGTGAGAGATAGGGGTCTAGTTTTACACATGGATGTCCATGTGTAGAAGAATACACCATTTATTGAAGAGGCTGTCCTTTCTCCAGTGTATGTTCTTGGTGCCTTTGTTGAAGATTAGTTGGCTGTAAGTATGTGGATTAATTTGGGGGTTCTCTGTTCTGTTCCACTGGCCCATGTGTCTGCCAACACCATGCTGTTTTGGTTACTGTAGCTTTGTAGTATATTTTGAAGTAAGGTAGTATCGTGCCTCCAGCTTTATTTATTTATTTTGCTCAGGATTGTGTGGTCTTTTGTTCTATATGAATGTTAGGATTGTTTTTTTCTGTTTCTGTGAAGAATGTCATTGGTATTTTGTTGGGGATTGCATTGAATCTGTATAGATTACTTTGGGTAGAATTGACATTTTCACACCATTAATTCTTCCAACCCATGAATATGAATGCCTTTGTTTTTTTGTGTCCTTTTCAATTTGTTTTTTCACTATTTGGTTGTTTTCATTGTGGACCTCTTCCACCTCCTTGGTTAAATTTATTCCTAGGTATTTTATTTTTTGGTAGCTATTGTAAATGGGCTTCCTTGCTTTATTTTTTGTCTGCTAGTTCATTGTTGGTGTATGGGAATGCTACTGATTTTTGTATATTGATTTTATATTCTGCAAATTACTGAATTCATTTATCAGCTATAAGAGTTTTTTGGTGGAGTCTTTAGGTTTTTCTATATATAAGATCATGTCATCTGCAAACAGGTACAGTTTGACTTCATCTTTTCCAACTTGCCTGTTATTTCTTTCTGTTGCCTGATTGCTCTGGCTAGAACTTCCAATACTATGTTAAATAGGAGTAGTGAGAGTGGGCATTCTTGTCTTCTTCCTGTTCTCAAAGGAAAAGCTTTTGGCTTTTTCCCATTTAGGGTGATGTTAGTTGTGGGTTTGTCATATTTGGCTTCTATTGTGTTGAGATACTTTCTTTCTATATCTTTTTAGTTCTAATAGGTTTTCATTTGCTTATCTTGGACTTTTTTGATGATAATGATAATTTGCCTCTTTCATATAAGTATTTATAATGCTTGGTTTGGTTTTTGTTATTTTAATGCAGTGGCTATATCCTCCAGTCTAATGTTATATGTAAGTGGTGGTAGTGAACATTCTTGTCTTGTTATTCTCTTTTAGGGAGAATGCTTCTGGTATGTTATTTACTTTATGTTTCTGGTACAATATATATATGTTTTAACTGACTGATGAACTTCCCTTTATGTCTAGCTTACTTTTTTTTAAGTAAGTATGGGTGGTTTTCTTCTTTTTCTTTTTAGTTATCTGTTGATAAGACCATGTAATTTTTTCCTTTGATATGTTATGTGTAATATTAATACATTTCTGGATATTGAAGCATTCTTTGGGTAAGTGGGATTAACCTTACTTAAAACTTACTTTTATTTTTGGGATAAACTGATAGTCTTATTAAGGAAACCTTTTTTTAAATGCTCTAGATCAGTTTATGAAAAAGAGGAATTATCTATTTCTTCAAAATGTGTTAGAACTTATCAGTGAATGTTAATTGGGCTGGTACTTTTTTTTAGAGGTAGAATCATGATCACATTTTCAATTCATTTAATTTTTACTGATTTCATATTTTCTACCTTTTGGATTCATGTTTGAAATTCATATATGTACTTAAAAAATGTTCATTTTTAATTTTCAAATTTATTTGCATAAAATTATAGAAAGCATTTTTTTGTAATTCTTTTAATTACTGTCATTTCTATAATATGTTGCCTTCCTTATTTCTAATGTTTGTTTGTATGAGGGTACTTCAAAAAGTTTGTGGAAAAATAGAATTAAAAGATAATATGAATCTTCCCATGAATTTTTTGAAGTACCCTTGTATCATCACTGTTTTTTCTTGATAAGATTTGCCTAGGGCTTTATCTCTTTTATTGGTCTGTTCAGAAAACCAGTAACCAGGTTTTGGTTTTATTGATTAACTCTGTGCTGTTTTTATTTCACTGTTTTGTTTATTTACGCCTTTTATTGTTATTAATTTATTTCTTCTGTTTTGAGTTTATTTTCATTAGTATTTTTCAGTCTTCATAGATTTTGTATACATTTAAGATGAAAAAACGTTTTCTTGAGTACTACCACCTTTTTGTTCCACAGATTTTGATATGCTGTATTTGTATTGTCATTTCTTTAAAAACTAAAACAAATTCAGATATGATTTCCTCTTCAACCCATACATTATTTTTATTTTTTTATTTATTTTATTTATTTTTATTTTTTTTCCTTTTTGTCTTTTTTTCGTGTCCAGCAATGGATCGCAACCCTCAGTGTCGCGCCCGTTCCGGACCGGGACTGGCAACGGGACTGCAACCCTCGGTGTTGCGCCCATACCTTGCTCAGCCAGTGAGCGGGAACCGGTCTGTATGTGGGATCCGAACCCTCAGCAGGAGCGCTGCCGCGCTCCCAAGAGGCGCACTGCTACAGTGCGCCACCGGGCCGGCCCCAACCCATACATTATTTAAGGGGTTGTTCTTATTACATTTTCAAGATGAGTGATTTTTTAGTAGTTATTTTGTTGTTAATTTTAAGTTTATTGCTGTGTAGCCAAGACTGTGGCCTGTATTTATTTAATCACTAAATCATGAGATACATTATGAAAACCTACTATGTGGCAGGCACTAGGATATATCAGTGGTCAGAATAAAGACCTTGACTTCCCTCATGAGATATATATTTTATGGAGGATGGGAAGGGAGTGGAAGAGAAGAATAATAGTTACCTTTTGGAATGAATTAACTACTATTTTTGATTTTTTTAGTGACCCTAATACCTACTCAAGTTTTATACACACGTACCATCTGTCTTTAAGGATATAAATGCCTTAGTTAAATGATTACTGAAATGAGTGTTTTGATGTCCAGCCATTTTATTAAAATTATCAGTATGTTAATATAAGTTTTTGGAAATCTACCTTAGGAGTACTGAGACCTGGAAATGACCCTGAAATTTTATTGGATCAGGGATCTCCTCAGCAGCCACCACAGCAGCATAGAGTACTTCAACAACTACAACAGGGAGATTGGAGATTACAGCAACTTCATTTACAGCATCGTCATCCTCACCAGCAGCAACAGCAGCATCAGCAGCATCAGCAGCATCAACTACTTCAGGATGCTTATATGCAGCAGGTAATTTTTTTGTTACCTTAGATATAGAAGTCATGTGAAATTCATGTGGTAGTTGATTATCAGGGAATTCTTTTTGTATCATGAGCACGTTTTACTCTAAATTCAAGTAAACGTTTCCCCCATTTCCTTCCTATTGAAGAATATGTATTTAATTTGCATTTAGTGAAATACTTAAGAATATTCTGTTAAAATAAGTTGAATCATGGCCTTATGAAGCAAAGAATGTTCATGAATAAGCACTGTAGTTTGTGATGAATATTATCTCTTTGAGGTTGTATTTTGAGTTTACAGATTAATAATGTTATCATTGGAAAGGTGATATTAGGCTTTCAAAAGTGACATTGTCTTAGATTTTTGTTATATTTTTTGTTTTTCATTTTTCTGCCTGGGTTGGCACACAGTCGATAGGCAGCATTTAGAGTTGAAAGAGACAGAAAAAAATGAGCTGAAGTTCTTTCCATCCTTTGCCTCATCAGAACCTGCAAATATATAGTTTTACTAAACTGTTTTAAAAGTAACTACTGTCACTATCATTCTTCAATCATTTTCTGAAATGTTTTTGAGCCAGTTATATGAATGATATTTCTCTTGGGTGCCACTCTCCTCTGGTTTTGATTGATAGACACAGAGTGGAGGTAGTAAGTAAGTGATGCCATTGGATAGCCAGACGACATGATTGAAGGGGAGATAGAGGAGAGTGGAGGTTTACTGTATTGGGCCCTAGTCAGAAGTTGCTTCAGGGATCTTCATCAACTAGGAAAAGGTGGTAAATGTGTTTAGGTTTAAATTTCTTCTATACATTCTTAGATTGTGATGAAGATGGTTTTAGTTGAATTTCTATTGTGTTTTGTTGATAATTTTGAAACCAATTTCAACAGCATGTATTAGTTACAATCACTTAACTACTACAAGTATTTTATATTGGTGTCTGGACTACTGATACCCCAAATCATTGTTGTGGTAGGAGCAAATACTTAAAAAAAGAATTCTGGCACAAAAAAGACATGAATAATATTGATTAATTAGTTTGTTTTTCTCATTTTAGTATCAACGTGCAATGCAGCAGCAACAGATATTTCAACAACAGTTTTTAATGCATTCAGTATATCAGTCACAACCTTCTGCATCACAGTATCCTACAATGGTAAGTGTTATATAATTTCTAGAAATTACTCTTTGAGTATACATTATAGTGTTGAAATTCAGCGGATGAATGATATTATTCAGAATTTAATAATTCAAAGTCAGTTCAGATTAGTTAGTTGACATGTGTTTTATCAAAGCCAGTTTTACATTCTCAAACAGATTTAAACTGTGCTGAACTATGGCACCTGATATGGCACATTGTAATTGACTAATAATATTTCTCTTATAATATAAGGGAAGTAGAAGATTTTAGCCATAATCGTTTGTCATATATATCTTTCATTCAGCAGATATCTATTTAGTATAAAAATGAAACCCAAAGGGAAAGTGCATTTGCTTCAGAGAATAGTTTGACTTTTTTTTTTTTTTTTTTACAGCAACCACCATACTAATGAATTTAAGCTAGTCTTTTGTCTTTTTTCTTAAAATATTTAAAGGAGTATTTTTTAATATGGCCTAGTGATCCTAGCTTCACAGCTTCTTTAGTAGATTTATTTCATCCTGCTCCTTCAAATATAAATTGTTTTTTAGGTTTCTGTTTTTTAGGATTTCTGATTTAGGTCACCAATGTGAGAAGGGTGTTACATAGTAAATAGATGTGATGCTGACAGTGCTTTGATGACTTGAGTATTGTTTTGTATAATGTCATTTCTTATTTCAGATGCAGCAGTATCAGCAGGCTTTTTTGCAGCAACAGATGCTAGCTCAACATCAGCAGTCTCAGCAACAGACATCACCTGAATATCTTACCTCTCCTCAAGAGTTCTCATCAGCCTTAGTTTCTTACACTTCGTCACTTCCAGCTCAAGTTGGAACCATAATGGACTCCTCTTACAGTGCCAATAGGCAAGTATTTTTCCAGTGAATGCAAAGGAAATTGTTGTGAAAGTGGATGTAATTGTTGAATGGAGTCATTAAATGGCTCTTGAATTAAAAGTCCGTGTTTCTGAAGAGCCACCTTTTTTCACCTCCAGGTTTTCTATTCTGATCCCTGTGCATCCCCATTCTTCCTTCCATTTCTATCAGTTAATTCTGCTAACTGTTCTTTACAGATGAGGCTTAGCAACCTCTAGCAACATTTAGGCCTAAGGAAGTTATTGGCTTGTATATAATGACCGTCTTTGTAATTTAAGTAGAAACAAAACCCTAACAAGCTACTTTAGTATTTTTTAAAAAATTAATCCTTGTCGACAAGTTAACATTTTCTGCTACATGTTACTACTTTTGATTGACTATGTACCCATAAAGGTTGTATAATTTGTTTTAATTTAAACAGGTACAAACATTTTTTAATATATCATTTGGTTCATTTTTAAGCTGGTATGATACAGTAAACTTATTGTTACCATAGCATAGATGGAAAATACTTGTAGTGTATTTTGGCTATTCATATACATCGGTTATTTTAATACAGTTATTTAATAGTTATTTTTCATGGATAATTTATATGAAAGTATTACAGTAAGTTAAAGAACTTTGATACAAATTTTCTCAAGCTTAGATATGATATGGTAAGTGCTTCATGATCTTGTAATTAGAATGATTATGAATGCCTCCTAATGTTCTTAGACATGGAGAAGGAAGTAGCTGTTAGACTTCAGTTACTGGAACACTAAAGAAGTTCTTATACAACACTGTGTCATGATTTCAAACATTAGCTGGGAGAAGGTGTGTATAACCTTTGGCTAGGAGTTGGACATGAGAAACAGCAACATCAATAGCATAGTTGTACACTGTGCATCTCAAAGGTTAAACTATGCAGTTTGCTATAGAATACCTCCCAGCCTATGTGTGTATGTGGGAGAGAAAGAGGGAGATTGGAAGAGTAGGGAGAGAGGAAAAAAATGAACTAATTTATTTATTAATTGAAATGTATTGATTGTATATGTTTATGGGGTATAGAGTTATATTTCAGTACATGTACACAATGTGTAGTGATCAAATCAGAGTAGTTAGCAAATTCATCATTGCAAAAATTGGTTATTTCTTTGTGATGAGGACATTTAAACTCCTCTCTTCTAGCTATTTGAGAACATACAATAAATTGTTACTTACAGATGCCTAGCACTACTGTACCCACTAGAACTTATTTTTCCTATTTAGCTGTAATTTTGTGTCCATTAGCCAACCTCTCACTATCTCCTCTTCCCCTCCCCTTCTTAGTAAACTGATTTATTGAAGTGATTTCCTAAAGCAAAAATTGGGGTGATGATTTAGGACAAGTTTGTCTAAGTGGATAGCACAGCATTTGATCAAAGGCTAGTTTATAGGTCCAGATCAGTATTTGCCAAACTTCGTCATTTTCCTACTCTAGTTGCAATTTTTTGCTTTACCCACATAGCACTTTTTTCAATAAATTAATAATGTTATTGTAAATAAAATGAAAACATATGATCTTATACATTTTAAACAAATTAGAGCCACTAAAATCTAACCTGTGAAATGTGAGTAGTAATCTAATGAATTTGTAAAAAAGATGTACCTGAAAATAAGTCTCCCAGTGATAAGAATGAGATAATTTTCCTATTAAAAATATGATATTTTGCTCAATTTTGTTTGGTTTAAGATAAGGATGAGGCTGTCATTAATTAGATGATTGACTTTTTTTATTTTAGTTATTAACTAGCATCAGAAATATCAATTAAAGCTAGAGTATTTATTTGCAAAGTACAGAAGATATTAAACTGTCTTCTCTGACACAGCATATAATCTTATATATACTTCATATTCTAAAAGACAGTCAACTTCTGGAAGCAAAGTGTGTCACTGATGAAAATTGAGTAATGAATTTGATATCCTGTGCAAGAGAATTCATGTTAGTGTTCCACAGCATATTGTTTTATTCCGTCTCTGTTGCTTATAACAACATACATGGAACTGGGTGATTTATAAGAACATGAAATTTTTTGCTTACAGTTTCTGAAGCTGGGAAGACCAAATTCCAGGGAACACATTTGGTGAAGGCCATGGTGGTGACAATAGTGATGACAGGGTATCACATTGCAAAATGGCGGAGCAGAGAAAGTAACCTCCTCCTTCACTTTCTTTTTAAAGCCCCTCAGAACCATGCGCATGACCACCATTTTTAATCCATTCATTATGGTGTGTTCCTGCAATCTAATCACCTCTTTGAGTTGAGGCCCCACCTTTCAATTGCCATAATATGATTTCGCACCTTCTTAACACTGTCACAGTGGGGGTCAAGTTTTGGGGGGACATTCAAGCCAAGGTTGAATGTACTATCTAAACTTCTCATTAGTTATAAGGTTGGATCTCCAAAGATTTGAGGTACACACAGGCATGCAAGGTGCTGATGCCTGAATTAAATTACTGTTTAACTCATCTCTAGTGATACTATTCAAGAAATCACAGGTTTGATATTTTAGATAAGCAATTTTTCCTAATTTTTCTGTAACTATTAATGTAAAAAAAAAAATTGGTTTATCACCAAAATCATTTGCATATCCCAGGTTGGGAAATATTGGGTTGGGTGTCTGTGAAAGTGTATGACATATTTTTCTCCACTCCTGTGAAGTTATGTATTGAGGGATATGAGAGGATGGAGCGAGGAAGGGATAATGGTTTGATGGGTGAAACAGTTATAAAGTTGGCCACTAGAGGCTAGGAATGCAGAACTTCCCACAGGAATATTGCTCTAGCCACACTTGGTGTCTCAATGCTACTTGAAAATATTATTATTCCTATTTAATATCAGATTATATGTTGAGTATAACATCTTCTATAACAATTTAAAAAGATTTGTAAGCTAATGTTCTTATGACTTAAGTCAGTGGAAGATGAGAATTGGAGTTAAATATTTGTCTCTTAGTGTATAACAGATATTTGAGTAGAAGATAAACCAAGTAATTCCTTAGACAGAGGCAAAGAGTCACTATTTTGGTTAGAATGATTAACCAGTGATTATTTTCTTTCCTGTCCCACTAACCTTCTGCTAAAATTTCTACTCTTCCATTGTCTTAACTTTAGTGTCAATATTGGAGAATATGACTGTTGTATTCCAATAGTAATTAAATATTCCTATGCATACATTATCTTTCTTCTTACGATATAATTGCCCTGTTGTATTAGTTATCTGTTGCTGCATAATAAATTATCCCAAAACTTAGTGATTTGAAATAACAATAAACATTTATCTTAGAACTTTCTGTGGATCAGGAATTTAGGAGTGGCTTAGCTGGGTGGTTATATCTGATATGGCTGGGTCTGTAGTCCTCTGAAGACTTGGCTGATGCCAGAGGATCTGTTTACAAGATGGTTCACTGACATGGCTTTGGGCAGGAGGCCTCAGCCCCCTGCCACATGGATCTCTCCAAAAGGCTTCTTGAGTATTCTCTTTGGTAAGGCAAAAACTATTTTGTACAAGAAATTATTGATTCTGATTTCTTCCAGAATGAGTGATCCAAGAGAGAGAGCAAGAAGGAACCCGAAATGCCTTTTTATGACCTAGTCCCAGAAGTTACACACTGGCACTTCAACCATATTTTATTTGAATTAATTGAGCCGCTAGATCTAGCCCATTTTAAAGGGAAGCAGAATTAGGTTTCACCCTTTGAGGTGAGGAGTGTCAAAGAACTTTGTAGACATGATTTAATACCTGTTTAATCTGTAGGTTAAGGTGACATCCTACTAAGTACAGTTTGCCAAGAAGAGTTTATTTTTTTATTTTATTTTTTTTGCAGTTGAACCCATGGCCTTGGAGTTACAAGGCTGCGCTCTAACTAATTGAGCTAACTGGTCAGCCCTGCCAATTCTCCCATGAGTGGGAGAAGAGTGACTCACATAGGGAATTAGAAAGTTCTGAAAGTGATCATTTACTGACAGGAGAGGGAATGCCCATCTCTCTTTGAGTTTTATGGAAGTATATTTTTTATTAAGATACCTAAGTTCTATTTACTAAGCAAGTTTATCTACTTTTAGGTAAATTACTATGTTTATTTTCCTTTATTATACTCTAGCCTTCAATAAATGTTTAAATGTTCTTTGTAGTCTTGGCTCAGGTATACTGAAGAGGCTTGGATAAGGGATTAAATTGACATCTCTTACCCTCTCTTCCCTTCTAAGACCTGTGTGGGGCAGTGGCAGTGAGCTCTCAAGAGGAAGTGAAATTAAGGGGATCAGTCAAGGCTTGCAAAATTGAGATATTTCTTTGAACATCGAGATTCTCCCTCACTTACCAGTGTCAGAGCACCTGTATCTGAATTACAAAAGGAATGTGACAGCTTTTTTACATTGCCTCATTCCTGTGCTGTATTTCCAAGCTGGTTTGAGGAAGAGGAACCCAGGAATCTTGGGTTAAGAAGTCTTTAGACTCTCATCTTCCCTTAAAAGCCAGGAGGCTGGGCCGGCCCGGTGGCGCACTGCTACAGTGCGCTGTTTGGGAGCCAGGCGGCGCTCCCGCCGAGGGTTCGGATCCCACATACAGACCGGTTCCCGCTCACTGGCTGAGTGAGGTGCGGGAGTGGCACCGAGGGTTGCGATCCCGTGCCGGTCCCCGTCCAGTGCGGGCGCGACACTGAGGGTTGCGATCCGTTGCCGGACACGAAAAAAAAAAAAAAGGAAAAAAAAAATGGTAGAGCTCTTCAAAAGAGTAAAAATGTTATTTTACCATATGTAACTATGCTTTAGATTTTTGCATAGAACCAGTAGTTTTAGGCTCCAGACTATAGATACTTTAAGCACCATAGATAATTTATTATATACAAAATAACCCTCATTTAACTTTAGCTAATTCATAAAGCAAACTTAGCAGTTCATCTTTTGTTGGTGACTATATATAGGGAATGGCTTTGTCAAAAGGAAAGTTACTATGGTGTCTCAACATAACCAGGACATAAGATCACTGTATTCATTAGTGATTTTGGAGTGATACTGTTTGATATGGTAACTGATTTTCACTAATTTAAGGTTTGTTCACTGTGATAATAATAGCTAATATTTATTGAGTGCTTATTTTTATTATTTATTTATTTATTTACCAGATACTATTCTCTTTACGTGTGTAGTAGATAACTGTTACTCCTTTTATTCAGATGAGAAAGCTGAGGCGTAGAGGTTAAAGAACTGGCCCAAGGGAACACAGATAGTATACCTTATGGATTAAGGAGCTGGTATTCCTTATGGGAGCAATTCAAATTCCAGATGTTATCTCTCTCCATTCCCTGCCCTTATCTGCCATCTCCACCATATTAAAGTGATCTGGTTTTCTAAGCATTTATAAAGTATGAACTAGAGCACTATAATTTTTTTTTAATGCTAATGGTTTTGTTTTTCTTTTCCCTTTTTCTTCTCTCAATCATTGCTATAGGTCAGTTGCTGATAAAGATGCAGTTGCAAATTTTACAAATCAGAAGAACATCAGTAACCCACCTGATATGTCAGGGTGGAATCCTTTTGGAGAGGATAATTTCTCCAAGTTGACAGAAGAGGAACTGCTGGACAGAGAGTTTGACCTTCTAAGATCAAGTAAGGGACACTTGAAGGCTTATTTTGCTTCACAGTAAAATAACAGCTTATAATTATTCAGCAAGGCCAAAGACTGTTTTGAGGTGGTGTATAGAAAATTCTTTTTGTGCATTCGAGGGCAAAATCCAGGCCATCTTCTTTACATATGTTATCAAACTTTATTGTGTGCATTAGAAATCAATTGCTTGATAATAGTAGCTGTTAAATCCAAGATTGCTGATAGTATGCTGATATCTTAACACTTAAATACTGCATATCTAATGAATTTTAAATTCAGAATATCTCCAAAACATGGAAGATTAATGTTCAAATAAAAAGGGAGACCTTAGTATCTTGCTTTACTAATCATTTTGCAGCTGTTTTCTTGCACACTCAGTAGAAAATATTGTGAGTCTGAGATGCCCTTTGAAAATGCCTGAAAGAAAACATGGGCTACTACATTATGTTAATGTTTTGTAATGCCCTTTTAATAAGTGGTGACGTAAAAGGGCTGCTTTGTTGTCCTGATATGGCAAAAGTTAAATAAATCCTTTTCTACTTTAAATCAGATATCTCAGTGTTTGAAATCATTGCCTTTTCTTAAACAACCTAATAAATATGTCAAGCCTCACCATATACATTTAAGAAATGTTCTTGTTTGGAAGAGAGATATTGGGTGTTTTGAGGAGGTTGCAAAATGGTAGCAAAAAGCTTACTTCTGGAATTTGTAGATAATTTTCAGGTTTCTGGGTCTTGTGTGTATGTGTGCTTGGGTGTGCACACATGTATAAATGTGTTTTCCCCTTTTTCATGTAAAAAGAAGGTCTAAATAGTTTCTAGTTCCTAGTTTCTGTTTTATTTAGGTAACTGGTCTTATGAGAGCATTTAATGAATGAAATGCATTGTTCCAAATTGGTATATATTTTATGAAAACTTTATAAATGCTCTGAATTCATGTAAGAATAGTTGTTTGGGATTTAAATTTGTATTTTACATATTATATGATTATGAAAATTAAATTGATGATTAAGTGCAGATATAAAAATGAGTTCTGAGCCCCTTAATAAAGGTTTGTTAACTTTGGTAAAATTAATCTTACATTTTATTAAAAAAAATTTTTTTTAAACCACAACTTTTTTGTTTGGTATTTTTTCCATAATTTATGTTGAGTAGCCCTAAAAGTAAGGTTTTGAAAAAGGAAATAGAGTATCTTTTTCTTTTGGAGGGTTGGCAGGGGGAGAAACAGGTGGTAACCAAATTATTATAATTTATAAGATTAATTTAAAAGCAAAATGCATTAATTATAATGTATTCTGACCAGGGTCTTCTAAATCAGTATTTTCTACTCCTTGGGTAAAACATTCATTTTTTTAAAAAAAATCAGTGTATAGAATGGATAAAGTATTCACATTATTTTGTATCTTATAAAAATGTGTTTTTCTCAGTTCTCTAGAATTTGTAATGATACCCATGCTTTACTTGGCATGGGCAAGAATGGTATATGAATATACTTGTGTGTATATATCTTCCTAAAAATTGTGTTTAGCTGTAAAATTCTTAACCAGATACACTTTTAATCTTCAAGGTCAAGTAAATGTGTAATTTGTGCACGTATTTGTATACACAATGTGTATGCCAAAGTCAGACTTTATCACAATATCAGTTATCGAAAGATACTAAGTTCCAGATGAAAGTACAAGGGGAACTTTACTTGAAGTGAAAGTCAGACTTGGAGCAACTTTAGCCATCTGGAAAACCACCTAGATGGTCCCAGAGCTACTGAAATCAGTGTCACAAGGCTGATGCCCTTAATTTGGCATATGGTACCAGAAAACATGAATTCTGATTTCTAACAATGTTATTTAACTAGGTTGTAACCTCAGTGAAGTTACTCAACTGCTGTCAGTCTCATTTACTCATTTATAAGCTGGGGATAATGATGCATACCTCATGGGTTGTCAAGAGAATTAAATGAAATAATGTCTGTAAGAGTCTGGGCACTCAATAAATAAATGCCGTTTTCTTTTTCCTCACCTGCTATATGTCTTTAGGCTCTGACTTAAGAGGTTTTTGGCCTTTAGCCAGCATTTAAAAATTATATCTAAATTACTGTGTTTCTCAGTGGTAATTTCAAAATCAAATTAGAAGAGGCTTTATGGGCAAACATGTCAAGAGCAGAAGTGACAAATGATAGCAAGGTAGGAGATGGAAAAGTGTCTGCTTTTTCCTTAATAATTGATAGTCATAGAAATAGGGTTCAAAAAAGGTGAAATTTTTTTTTTTTTCCTTTTTGTCTTTTTTCGTGACCGGTAACGGGATTGCAACCCTCGGTGTCGTGCCTGTACCACGACCGGCAATGGGATCGCAACCCTCGGTGTTGCACCCGCACCGCGCTCAACCAGTGAGCGGACCGGTCTCTATATGGGATCCGAACCCTCAGTGGGAGCACTGCCGCACTCTACCGAGTGCGCCACCAGGCCAGCCCTGAAATGTTTTTTAATAAAGTCTATAATTACTATAAAGTAACATATAGAATGTAGTTCCTCCCCAAGTTTTACTTAATTGTAACATTCAGTCATCTTTAACACCTATTATATTTACAATCAATAAAGTATCTAATATTTGATTGGGTTTAAAGTATACTGATGCGCAAAAGACCTCTTCCAGAACCTTAAGAGTTTCAGTAGAAGACTAACTGTGCAATGAAAACTGATGGTTGGTCATTACTGGTTGGTTCTTCTATCCCTGACAACTTTTTACAAAATGAATGAATAAATTATTAATGCAATTTGAAATGCCAAATAGGATATTTGTGTCTTTTTTCTCGGCACAGATATTTATTAATTTTCCAAAGTCCTTTCTAAAATAATTTATAAAGTGTTGAGTTTATGAAATGCTTTCCAGTGAGAAACTGAAAACCTTTAAATGGTCCTTAAAAATATAGGCATTGCCCATGTAGTGATTGTTCAGAATAATATATCACCATTTGAGGTTTTACTTTTAAAATGATACATAGTTTTTTGTTTAAAAAGGAGAAAGGATATGCTGTCTAGGAAATATTTTACTTGTATGTATTGTCCAGAAGGTAATTTTAAAATCATAATAGTATTTAGAGATGTTAAAATTCTAAAATATTACTAATTACTTGCAACTCTTTTTTTAGTGATCTTAAAACAGTTGATCCTATATACCAGGCAAAGGGATTTCACATATAAAATAAACTAGATTCTTATTGCTTTTGCTTTCAGTGTAAAGGAATATTATTTATGGTTCATAACTTTTTTTTACCTGTTCTTGTTTAAGACGAAAACATTAAATCAACATTAAGCATTAGTAATAAGGCTTGTCCCAATGGTATTTTTTAAAAATTTAAGCTTGTATTTTTTATTGTCTTTTGTGCCAAAACATCCAGATTAGTATGTAAACTTTAGAAATCTATCAGAATATTTAATACATTAAATAGTTATTAGAATACAGGTATTTGCTTTGGGGAAAGTTTTAACTTGCATTGTTCGAATAGTTGTGTAGTTACATGTTTAATTAAAAATAATACTTAGTGAAACACTTTGTTCTTGGTGTTGGATTTATTGTTTGTTTCTGTTTAACATTGCATCAAAATAACTAGAAGGAAGAAAAGAACATACTAAAGACTGTGGTTGGTTTGCAAATTCTACTGAATATGATGTTTTATCTATGAAACCATAGAATAACATAGATATAAACATCTGAATCTACAATTAGTTTATTGTAAACATTAACTCTCATCTTTTTTTAGCTAATTCAGGCCTGTTACTGTTCCTTCAGTACAGGATAACAGAACTTTTCAAGTATATTAGAACAGTTTCAAGAATATCAGATGAAGACTGTACTTTTAAACCTTATTCATTAGCCTTTTTGGCCATTATCCGTATAAGCAGCAGAATTAACTTTTAGAGTATTTTAATTTTGTGATCATATTATGGAATATACGTTGATTCTACGATTTTTAAATACTGTGTTTTTGCCATCTGTGTCAATTAAAATTCTTGAAAAGATATCTTTATTCACCAACACAATTCTTTTGGGAAGGCAGGACGAGGTAAGTTTCTTACATTGGACAAATCAAGCTCAAGTTTTGTTCTAATCTATAGAAAACCAATCATTTGGAAATGGCACTTAAATACATTTTGGGGGTTACTATGTATTTAAAAAGTGGCTCTACATAACCATTTCATTAATTTTTATTTATAAGTAATTGAAATTAAAAATGTTCATTTATTTTGTATTTCGTGTCCTGGGACCAGGATTATCTTGTGAACTTTAGAAATATAAATAATGTTTTAAAAATATGCCATCAGAAAATTGATTCTATATCTTGTGGAGCAATGAGAACATGATTCATTTTATTATGAATTTATTCTGATTCCTGTTTTGAATTAATTGGATAAATGAACTTTGCATAGGACAGTGTCTCCCCTATTTTTACTTATGGGGACCCTTATATAGAAATTAGTTCACTGCTACATGATAATGTTTGTACTATTGTCATAACTGCAGATGCTGTTTATACATTTTACTGTGAATTTACCATAGATTGATGGAGATAATGCATCAGTACATGAGGATTCAAAGAGCCTTAATGGTAACATTGCAGTTTTATAAACAGAGAACCATTGGTACAGTAGTGGTTTATAAACTTGAGAGTATATTAAAATGCTAATTCCCAACTTCCTACTCAGATAATCTGATTCATTAGGTCGGTGGTGGGGCCAAAGTAACTACACTTTATATAGGAATCCTGGCAATTAGGATGCATATGGTTTAAGAAGGAAGTCTGGTCCTAATTCAGAACTGAGTACCTACACATACTGTTTGTCTTTATTTTCAAGAATGAGGGCTCCTGGATTTTGATAAGCTGTGGTTATCACTCTGAGTCAGTCTCTCCCATTTGTTTTTCTCCACTTCTTTCCTTTGTCCTCACTTTTTTTTTTTTTTTTTTTTTTTTTTTTTTTTGAATTACTGTCCATGACATTTAGAAAGCTATGTCTCCTTTCTTTATATCCATAGATCTCTAAACCTCTGTTACAATTTATTGTTTATATTTCTGCCTCCTTAACTAGTGTATTAGTTGCCTGGGGCTGCTGTACAGATTACCACAAACTGGGTGGCTTAAACAACAGAAATTTATTCTCACAGTTCGGAGGCTAGAAGTCTGAAATCAAAGTATCAGCAGGTCTTGATTTATTCAAGGCTCTACGGAAGAATCCTTACCTGCCTCTTCATAGCTTCTGGGGGTGGCCAGCAATCCTTGGCAGTCCTTAGCTTGTAGACATTTCACTCCAATCTCCGCTTGTCATCACATGGCATTCTCCCTGTTTGTTTATGTGTCCAGATTTCCCTCTTCTTATAAGGGCGCCAGTCATTGGATTAGAGACCACTCTAACCCAGTATGACCTCATCTTAACTCGATTCCATCTGCATCTATTTCCAAATAAGGTCGCATTCACAGATACCAGAGGTTAGTATGTGAACATCTCTTATTGAGGAACACAATTCTGCCCACGACACTAGATAATAAGTTTTTTAAGGACAAGTTTTATCAATATTTGCGTCCCCTTCAGTAACCAGAAAGCTTGTTAAAATTAAATTTAAATTTACTCAATAACTTATATGGACATAAACACAGCCGTGTCTTAAGAAACACCATCTTCTCTTCTCTTTCGCTGAAATTCAGTTGACAAGCAGCTATGGATGGTAGAAATACAAGGAAGATAATAGACTTTTATTTATGCTCAGGGAGGTAGAACTAATAGTAAAGTGTATGTGATGCCCAGTTTCCTCTTCATCCCATTGGTCATATTGACCAAGAGATAGGAGCTGTTCCAGGTATTTTGGAGTCTAGCAAAAGAAAAGCTTTCAGTTCCTGTCTGTTCTCTACACAGTGGAGAATTACGTATAACTTTGTAAAAATGAAGAAGATCTGTCATCCCTTCAAGTTCTACTACCAACTTTGGTTTTTCACCTTTATAAAGCTGAAGATAATATTTTGATTACTTTTTGACAGATCTGGGTTTTTTAAAATTTCCCCATTTCATAGAACCTGTGTGAAAACTTGAGCCAAAGTCCTTACAGAGTACTTAAGATTGGACTGGGGTAGGAGTGAGCCCCAAAGTGGAAGGGATTGACTAGAGCTAGGGACTGGAAATAATGCAGGAGAAACAGAGCAAGACTTGAGGCAAAGTAGAATATGCTCTCAGTTTCAGTTAATCGTCCACGCTTGATGTATGGTACATGGGTGATAAGGATTGAATTGTGTCCCCCAGGTTTTATGTATTAGAATTTTGATCCCCCATGTGACTATTGAGAAGGTGGGAAATCCTATTATGGTACTTGAAAGGTGGAGGCTTGAAGAGGTGATTGGGTCATAGGACCCTGCAGTAGTGAATGGATTAAAAATGGTGGTCAGGGTGTGGTTCTGAGGGCTTTAAAAGAAGAGGGAAGAGAGTCTCTGTCTGCTTCCACCATCTTGCATTGTGAGATCTCTGAATCTCTGTCACACCACCACATGGACTTTGGACTTCCCAGCCACAAACTGTAAGCAATAAATTTTATCTTCTTTATAAATTACCCAGCCTCAGGTATTTTGTTATAGCAACATGAAATGGATTAATACAGAAAATTGGTACCAGAGAAGTGGAGTGTTGCTTATAACAAATACTTGAAAATGTGGAAGCGGCTTCAGAACTGGGTGTTAATAGGCAAAGGCTGGAGGAGTTTGGAGGACTCAGAAGAAGGACAAGGAAAAAAGACGAGGGAAAGTTTGGAATGTCTTAAGAGACTGGTTTCATGGTGGCAAGCAGAATGCTGATAGAAATATGGACTGTAAAGACCATTTTAAGGAGGTTTCAGATAGAAATCAGAAGGAGTTTATCAGAAACTGGGCAAGGATCACCCTTGCTGTGAACTGACAAGGAATTTGGCTGCATTGTGTCCATGCCGTATGACTTTGTGGAAGTTGGAACTTAGGAGTTGTGAACCAGAGTATCTGGTGGAAGAAATTTCTAAGCAGCAAAGTATTTTTTTTTTTTTGTCTTTTTATGTGACCGGTAAGGGGATTGTAACCCTTGGCTTGGTGTCATCTGCACTGCGCTCAGCCAGTGAGTGCACAGTGCACGGCCATCCCTATATAGGATCTGAACCCGCGGCGGGAGCTGCGCTCCCAGCGCTGCACTCTCCCAAGTGCGCCACGGGGTCGGCCCTAAGCAGCAAAGTATTAAGGAAGCTTCATGGTTACTTGCAACAGCCTACACTGAGTTATGGTGGCAAAGGCACGACATAAAGCCAGAATTTAAAAGAGAAGCAGAGCATAAAGATTTGGAAAATTTGCAGCCTGGCCATGTGATAGAGAAGCAGAGAGCATGCAATGGTGCAGCCCAGCGACCATTAGCTAATAAGATTAATACAAAAGAAAGGGATTATCCAGAGAAGGGGGAAAGGCCCTGAGGGCATTGCCAAAGCCTCTGGGACCAACCCTTCCATTTCAGGCCCAAAGGCCTAGAGAGACAGAATGGTCTTGGGGAACAGGCCTGAGGCACCCTCAGAAAACTCACTGGTCAGGGCCACCTCAAGGTGCTGCTCCCCACATCAGCACTCTAGCTCCTTTGGCTGCTCCAGCTGTGGCTAAATTGGCCCTAGGTGTGGCTAGATGTGCAGCTTTGGAAAATATACGCTGGAAGCCTTGGCAGCATTCACATGGTGTTAGGACTGCAGGCTCGCAGAATGCCAGAACTGTGAAGGCTTGGGACCCTCCACCCCGATTTCAGAGGATGTATGGAAAAGTCAGGGAGCCCAGGAAGAGATCTGTCACAGGGATAGAGTCACTGCATACAACTTTCACTAGAGCAATGCCAAGTGGAAACGTGGGGTCAAAGTTGCAGCAGAGAAACCCCATCAGCGCCGTGTCTGCTGGAGCTGTGAGAGTTGGACTGCCATGGAAACCCCAGACCTGTGGAGCTACCAGTGTGCAATGCCAACCTGTGAGAGCTGAAGCATCACCTGAGACTGGGAAAGCCATAGAAGCAGAGCTGTGCAAGGACTTGGGGACCCAACCCCCACATCAGCATGTAGAGGAGGTCGAACATGGAGTCAAGGTACCTGATTCACCAGCTTTGAGATTTAATGCCTGCCCTGCTGGGTTTTGGACTTGGTTGGGACCTGTTCCCCCTTTCTTTTGGCCTATTTCTCTCTTTTGGGATGGAAGTATGTATTCTATGTTTGTCCCACCGTTGTATCTTGGAAGTAGATAACTTACTGATTTCACAGATGAGACTTTGAACTTTGGACTTTTGAGTTGAAACAAGTTAAGACTTTGGGGATGAAATGAATGTATTTGTATGTGAAAAGGATGAGTTTTGGGGGCCCAGGGGTGGAATGTAGTGGATTGAATTGTGTCCCCCCAAACTCACTGATGTTTGAATTGTGTCCCCCAAGTTTCATGTATTAGAAACTTAGTCCCCACTGTAATTGTTAAGAGGGTGGGAAATCCTATTATGGTAATTGAAAGGTGGAGGCTTGTAGAGGTGATTGGGTCGTAGGACCATGCAGTAGTGAATGGATTAAAAATGGTGGTCAGGGTTTGGTTCTGAGGGCTTTAAAAGAAGAGAGAAGAGAGCCTCTCTCTCTCTCTGCCCTCTCTGCCCTCTCTGCTTCCCGTCTTGCAATGTGAGATCCCTGAATCACTGTCACCACCACCACATGGACTTTGGACTTCCCAGCCTCAGAAACTGTAAGCAATAAATTTCATTTCTTTATAAATTACTCAGTCTCAGGTATTCTGTTATAGTGACACAAAACAGACTAATATGCATACCATTTGCCAGAACAGTGCCTGGCATATACTAGATGCTCAGATATTTGTTGGATGAATGAATAAACTCTGTCCTTATATTTGTGTGTGTTTATGGTTTGATAACAATAAAAATAATATGAGAAATGAACAAAAAAGTAACATATAATGAATGACTTTATTGCTATTGAGAAATAGGGTTTCTATTTTATGGGCGAATGACTGTTTGCAATATTTTTTCTATATGTAGTTTTGGAGAAAGTCTGCTGAATATGTCTCTGGTAAGTGGGGTTTAAGTTCAGGTGCAATATGTTATGAGTTGAAGACAGCTAGTATTTAAATGAACCAGACTAAGTTATTTGTTAAGTTAATTGTTATTTAGTGAAAGCTAGCACTGATTATGTTGTTAAACTTGCCTTTGTAGGAACAAATATGTATTAAACTCAGGACTACCCCCAATACTTTAAAAAAAACATTAAAAAAATGAATATAACATTTTTCAAAAATGCTGTTTGCTTTAATTTTCACTTTTATTTATACTGTATACCACTTTTTTGATTTAAAGAACATTTTTATTTTGTTTTATTTTTTTGTTTCATCTTATTTTTGCAGACAGGTTCGAGGAGAGAGCATCCTCAGATAAGAATGTAGACCCACTCTCTGCTCCACATAACCATCCTCCAGAAGATCCTTTTGGTTCTGTTCCTTTCATTTCTCATTCAGGCAAGTTACATATGTAACATCGCTATCATTAAAAAAATGCACACCAACACCACACCAAAACCTTATTAATATAAAGCAAAAGTAAAAAGAATCAGGTGTTAGTTACAGAAAATAGAATAGAAAATTGTTTTAACCTTCAGTCATCCTAATCTTTCTAATGTTGTTCTTTCTATTGGATTATTCAATAGTACTTTTGCCAACATAGAAAAATACTGATTTACATAATAGAAACATAACTGTTTCTTTTCACCTTTATTATTGGTTACTATTGGGAAAAAAGCCATGCATGAAAGTATCTCTCCTATTTATATACTTAAAATACATTTAAATATATTTTTATACTTGACTTTTGCTTAAAAATCTGATATTTCCTAGTTTATAAATGCCTTCTGTAGTTGCATTTAAAAATATTAATGATTTTGTATTTGTCATAATGATTTTGTTTTAGCTACTCTTTTTTTCTTATATCCCTGCTTTTGATTTCAATCCAGAATTTAAATATTGATATTATCCACTATTTTAAAATACTTTCAGTAATAATTTCAAAGTAATTACCCAGTCAGTACTTGGAAGATACTAGCAGGGAATAAGATTCCATTTTGGCATAAATGAATTTTTGGATGCGTATGTTATAGAGGAAAAAATGACTTTTAAGCTTGGTAAAGGGAAATATATTAGAAGAAATCATGCCTTGTTGGAAGATAAAGATTTATTAATTTAACATATTCAAGGTAATGTCAGCCATGTACTTTGGTGCTGCTCCTTTTAGTTCTCACTCAGGCAGGTTACATGGGTAACATCATCACTATCATTTAAAAAAACATATGCAAGAATAACAACAAAAGAAAAACTTATGAATGTCAAGCCCAAATAAGAATAGGGTGTTCAGGATTTCTGATGAATACATTGAGGTGCAACATTACAGCTTTTCAACATTCAGATTTGGTTATCTGGGACATAATAACACAGTAATCAAGAAAATACATTCCATATTTTACTCTTTGTTATTTATTGAAAACAATCCATATTCTTGCCATTTTCTGCTACTCTTTCAACTGTGTTTTTCATGAATGACATGACATCATTAACTGGGGAAGATAGCTTACTGTGTTTGTTTAATCTGTAGAAATGTGCTCCCTCACACCCCCAATACCCTAGGTCACAGAAGTGTCATGTTTTTTTAAATTATAATATTTCAAAATAGTGTCCATAGCTCTCAAAAACATAGTACTAAATGACTTGAGATATTGATTGACGTGTGGCAAAAAGTAGTTTCAGTACTAGTTCTTTAACATACTCTAGAAGGAGTTGCATTATCCTTTTCAGGTTTGCACGTATCTATGCAACTACTTTTCTATTCTTTAATAGCTTCTGAAAGAACCCAGGGGAAATGAATATTAGAGTCAGGAAATGGAGTAAGCCTCAATGATCGATCTTTTCTCTGGACACTCTTATTTAGAGGTTGCCCCAGGGATTTTGTAGCTAGCAATATGCTTACAGCTTGATTGTTGCAATTATTTTGTTTAACTTTTTACTGTGGATATTCAGCTCTATTAGATTTTAAGCTTATTGAGGGTTGGAAACATGAAATTGTCTGTCTTTGAATCCTGCCTATTAGCCAACCCAATCACTGCCTAATATTATTTATTGAATGTATGTAAAAATTATGACTATCCATATAAATTCATAATCCTTATTCTTAGGACAGTGACCTTAAAACATGCCCTTTGATATAAATGCTACCGCTCCAAAAATCTTTTTAGACAATGTGAACATGAGCACTGGAATGGTTTGGTTATGAAAAATTTAAGTACTTAGACTGGGATAAAGGAGGGAATGGGAGAAATGTGTCTACAGAAGAAGCATTCACTTTGCTCTGTTAGCATTGTTAATTTGATATTTAGCAAATCTGAAATATTAAAGAATGTAAAAATAATGTATTGCCACTGACCTATTCATTATAAAGCTTAGAAATATCTTGTCTAGCTGGCCAGTTAGCTTAGTTTGTTAGAGCATGGTACAGATAACACCAAGGTCAAGAGTTTGGATCCCCATACCAGACAGCTGCCAAAACAAACAAACAACAACAACAACAAAAAACTGTCATGTATCATTTTAGGTAAAAATAAAGTATTTGGGGCATTCATTTTCCTCCAATACACGGATAACACCAAGGTCAAGAGTTTGGATCCCCATACCAGACAGCTGCCAAAACAAACAAACAACAACAACAACAACAAACTGTCATGTATCATTTTAGGTAAAAATAAAGTATTTGGGGCATTCATTTTCCTCCAATAGAAAAATAATGGAATCTATTGAAAGAAAAATTAACCTCTCCATAATCTTTAGAAAAAAGCTGGGAAAGGAAAAAGCAATTTTATCCAATGAAAATATAATCCACCTAGCATTGAGAGACTGAAAAAGCATCTGGAGATTTTTAGGATGAGGACATAAGAAAGGCAAGAAACTACTCTTAAGTGTGTGTGTGTGTGTGTGTGTGTACAATACAGAATGATAACTATATGTGATAAGTCATCTTACTTGTTTGAGAGTTGACAGTTACTAAGCAGAATTTAATTTTAAGTAAACCATATAGAGAATGCTACTTGAGAATAAAAAGAATTTGTGTGGCAGAATGCTATAATTTGGCAAGTTTTAAGCCTAATGTTAACGTGCATTTAAGAAGAAACACTGTCCTGACTCTAGTGTTTATTACACTGTTTTTTCTTTTTTTTTTTTATGAACAGTTCAAAAAAAAATTGAAAGCCACTGCCTTAACGAGAATGTCTTTGCTACACACACAAACCTATTCAAAAACATTAAAGCTCATAATCTTGGAAACCTAAGAGAAAAGAGAATTTTAGAAGGTTAAATGATTCCATGTCTCATCAATTATACAGCAACTCTACTCACATAAATATTTTTACCTTAGGGCCGGCCCGGTGGTGCACTGCTGTAGTGCGCTGCTTGGGAGCGTGGTGGCGCTCCCGCCGAGGGTTCGGATCCCACATACAGACCGGTTCCCGCTCACTGGCTGAGCGGGGCACGGGAGCAACACCGAGGGTTGTGGTCCCGTTGCCGGTCCTTGTCCGGTACGGGGGCGACACTGAGGGTTGCGATCCGTTGCCGGACACGGAAAAAGACAAAAAGGAAAAAAAAAAAAACTTTTAATCTTTTTTTTTTTTTGGCAGCTGGCCGGTATGGGGATCTGAACCCTTGACCTTGATGTTTATCAGAAACTTTTAAGCTTATCTTTGAAATTGTAATGGATTAGTTTTTACTTTATCTTTCTTCAGTTTATCATAATCTTACAAAATAATTTTGAATTAAAACTATTTTCATTAAAATATATACAGAGAGTTTAAAAAATCAGATTTAACAAGGTTTATAATGGAAAAAAACCAAATCACTTTGCTATCTCCTCCCTCCTGGTCCCCTTCCCTGTTTAGACACACCGGAGGTAATTTTTCACTTCTGGCATTTTACTATGTCATGTTTATTCTGCTATTTCTTACCTTTCCCCCCCAACTTTTAGAAATATCTGTGGACATCCTGTTGTGGTCGATGGGGATTTAGATTAATTACAAAGTTAGCCTCTCTCACACTGCATATATATACACGTGTCCTCTCTCCCCATCCTTCTGGCACAGTTTTGACACTGTTTTTGGTTGAATCAGTGTTCAGTGTGTACATTTTTCAAATATATAAATATCTGTCACCACTGAGATACAGTATATCATTATAATATTTTCTTTTTTCTATAAGGTTTTGTTTTTCCTGGAGTTAGTTACTGTGTTTATAATTACTATGATTTTTGTTTTAGTTTTTATGTACCCTATCATTGATTCATCTTCATTTAGAAGTATAAATTTCCTCCTAATTTAAGGTGACTATTACTTTTATTTTTACTTGATTACATCTCTCATGGAGTTCTGCAGTCTGCATTGGTTGCTTTCTGGGCCTGCCACACACCTGTAATCCTGCTATTTTTTTTTTACCCCTCTGTCTTCCTGGAAATTCCCGGATCTCCTGTCCTCTTCTTTCTTGGTTTGTTAGTAGAGTAACTCCTCTAGTAGTTTCTTGAGAAAGTATGCACGGGAGAAAAAGTTTTAAACTTTGTTGCCTAAAGATATCTTTTTTCCCTAAACTGACATTTGTTGATAATTTGACTAAGTAAATAATTCTAGGTTAGATATAATTTTTCCTGTGATTTTTAGAGGTACTTCTTCATTGTATTCTAGCTTCTAATATTGCTTTTGAAAATTCTAATGCCATTCTGATTGCTGATCCTTTAAATGTAACCTGTGGTGGATTTTTTTTCCCTTCTCTTTTAACGTCTTTATTAACCTGTTCTGAATATTTAAGATACTATATTATTTTTTATTCATTGTACCGGGGGACTAGTGGCCCTTTTCAGTCTGGAAACTTGTTTTCTTGCTTTATTTCTTTTGGTAATTTTCTTTCTTCCTCTTTCTGGATTTTCTTTCTTTTTTTTTTTTAACCCATTATTGTGATATTGTGCTTCCTGGATTGGTCTTCTAATTTAAATAGTTTTCCTCTGTTTTCTAGCTCATTGTCTTTTATGTTTGCATGTTAGAAAATCCATTAATTTTATATTACAAACATTATTTTTAATTGTAAATACCATCTTATTTCTTGGATGCAATGTATTTTCATTTTTCTGAGGATACTTTAGTTTTGCACATTTTTACATGTCTTTTCTTTTTTTCTTTGTCTTTCACTTTAAGAATTTCAGCAAATGACTGTTAATCCTTTGCTTCCTGGAGAAGGTAGTCTCAGTTTGACTTGAAGGATGTAAAGAAGTTTCCCTGTTAGATGCAGTGTTTCGTTGGCATGAGAAATCTTTTAACTTGTTACAGATCAATGAGTGCAAAATGTGATGGGGAAGTAGGGGAAGATGAGACTAGGGGAATGCCAAACCAACCTTGAATTACTTGGATACCCACTACTTGACTGTGATGTGTTTAAAAAAATAT